TCCTAATGAAAATTCTAAGAAATGGTAATGAAAAAGCGAAGGAGCCTACTCAAAACTCCTAATGAAAATTCTAAGAAATGGCAATGAAAAAGCGAAGGAGCCTAATGAAATATCCTAATGAAAAGTCTATGAAATGGCAATGAAAGGGCCAAAGAGCTTAATGAAATATCCTCATGATATCTCATTATTCTTGCCTATATCTTATGAAAGATTCCAGTGATAAATTGAATGAAATAGATGGGCAATCCTAATGAGATGCCTTTCATAAAACCTGTGGCAGTATACACATTGCCTCTTGGACAGTTGTCATAGATTAATCATAAAAGTGGTAGCCACCAGTCTATCAAGGGCAAAGGCCCTACGCCTCAATATTCTCAGCAGCAGAGCGCCGAATCCGGCAGCTCGCAGCAGAAGAAGAAGAGACCCTTCCGACGCGGAGGAAAAGGAAAGAGTGCAAACAACCACAATCATGTGGCTGGAGCCTCTGATACTTTCAACTCCGATTTCGTCCTCGCATCATCAGCGATGCATATCGCCGATACACCAGCATTACCAGCCCCTACAGCTCACTCCGTAGCTTCTTTCAGTGCTGCCAGTCCTTCGATCCGGCGCGAAAGAACTACAGGGCCATGGAAGAACCCTGGGAGGTCTACTCCTCCTTACCCCCATGTGCAGCGATCCCGCAATCTTATCTTGAGACTACAAAAGTTTGTAGTGTCCGCTTTTTCAGACTACAAATGTTTGGAAGAGTTTGTAGTTGACATGTAGTTTATGGTGTCCTTGGCCTTATCTATGTTATGGGGATGAGGTTGAAGGATTGCATTCATATTGCCAGTGTTGCAGCATTAGTTTTTGACATCATGCACAAGTTGTCTTTCACATTAGGAAAGGTCATTCTAAGCCTTTCATATTGATACCTACTGTCCTATCTCAAAACATAATTGTAAGCTCTATGGCTGAAGGATTGACATGACTTTACATATTGCTATTGCCACATCATCAGTTTCTCACATCATGCCCAAGTTGGCTTCCAAGCTAGAGGAGGCTATTCATGTGGATATCTACTCAATACATGGTCAACTTACAACATGACCTGACTTAAAGACACCTCCAAGGATGAATCAGCCCCAGGGCATTCAGCAGGTGTGCTATTGAACCATAACAATAGAAACTGGCAATTGTCCTATGGCTCATAGCAGTACACAAATGGGCCCAATGGCTATGCACATATGGGACCATATGTGGGGCCAATGCCATAATGATGTTTAAGGTTGAATGTTGGGCCCAATGATTAGCCCAAACAAAGCACCACAAACCAATCATTTGGCCCAATTATGGTGGTATTTCGTGGCTGGAATTAGCCTAAGGGTGGTAGTTGGGCTCAATGTTGAAGGTGCACGATGGCTGTATGTTTGGCCCAATGACCAGAGGAATAGGTTATGGGCTAATGTTGTGGCCAACATATTTTCTGTACCTAATGGCATATGTTGGGCCCAACTGCTCACAAGGTAGCTTATAGTGCCTATGTTAGGGCCATCCTCCATGACACTCTATGGTTGATTGTTGGGCCCAATGGTTGGCCTGCAAATCTTCCGGATATTGCACTTGGGAGAAAATTTACGGAATTCGCAGATATTGCATTTCCAGAGATTTTGCTTGAATCTGTGGCGTATTCTCTGGATGCTGGGGAAAAGACATTGTGGAATTCCTGGATATTGCATTTCCGGAGATTTGGCTTGAATTTGCGGCATATTCTCCAGATGCTGGCGAATCAATTTAAATATCCACAGGACATGTGGAATAGCCGAAAGAAAGACAACCCAGGTGTCCAGACAAATGTTGCATGAAAGTGCAGAAGTCCCAAAGCATCAACTTAAATATCCATGGCATGTGCGAAATATCCGAAAAAATAACGACCCATAAAAGTGCGGAGGTCCCAAGGTGTCAATTTAAATGTTAACAGCATGTGCAGAATATCCGAAAGAATAACAACCCAGGTGTCCAGACAAATGTTGCATGAAAGTGCAGAAGTCCCGAAGCAGCAATTTAAATATTAACAGCATGTGCAGAATATCCGATGATACGGAGTGTAACAATACACCCGTAAAAATGCGAATTTTAGCGATTTCTCCTATAAAACCTCCTATAGTAGAAATACAGTCACATTGATCATAAGGATCGTTAGACGCAACCCGGTCTAGTCGATTAAAGTTTACATCCGAGAAATGTGCACGCCTTAGACAGTAGGAATTGCGGTCGGTTCGTGACCGAATCACCTCAATATACTCAAAGTCTAATAAAAGGCTACACTACCATGAAATAGTACGCTACCGAGTGTTCTAGAGTAAAAACACCCCCGCACAGGGTGTTGGAGTTTACACCAAACCAGGGTCTCACTTTATTATGGATTAAAAGATATTAATTCTAAAGATAAACGCGTGAGCGTAGAAACTCGACGCGTACCTGACGCGAGAAGTCATTCGGTCACGTGCTACGAAGCATGATCCAAGAAATCATGTGGAGAGACGCATCACGCGCATCACGTGCATCACGCGCATCACGTGCATCACGTGCATCACGCGCATCAACACATCACAAATCATGGCATCATTGACCCAAGAAAACTAAGCTTCGTGAAATATTCCGAAGCCTGCCAAAAGAGAAAAACTATGAACGATTTGCCGTGCGGTCCGAGGCCCGGGCATAGTATCTAATAATAGAGAGAAAAATCACTAAGCGGACCGTTCGTCTCGGCTGAACCGATCGTGAAAACCGTTTACGGCGATTCCCATGTACGCATCAATACTGATGCGTCGCGTCGCCACAATAGAGAAAACACTACGAAAACTTAAAAGAAGTCAGCTCAGTTGTGCCACGCACAATCGAGCCACTTCAAACCTTTACTAAAAATCAGAATTAATTCGTCCGACCTCTCGGACAACGCACGGACATATAAATATAAATAGAAGACATAGAATAGTATAAAAAGAGGACGCGCGCAGGCTGAAACGCAAGGAATTATCCCCCGCATTGACCAGCTGTCGCACTCCCAGTAGCATCTGAGGTAGTGGATAAGTTTGTAATCAATTTAAGGACTTTTCTTCGCAGACATAAGTAACATGTGCCCGGAACCAGTGTGTTAAGTGGGGATCACAAAGCTTTTGTAAGGTTGTCTTGTCAATTAGTAAGAGAGCTCTCTACTATTACCGAGGAATCCAAGTGAGCGTGCTTGAGGAGTCTTTAAGACTAGTTTGGACCGCATCAGAGGCATAATAAAAACTCAAGGGAGTTATAAAAGTCTACAAAGCACAATTTCCTTGTCATTTCTTCGTATACAGTTAGAGCGCAATCCCAGAACACCGAGACAGTCCCAATAAAAGCCGTTTCCCTTCGAAGACTACTAAAGTTTCGAATCTACACTGTGTCCGCACGTAAAACAATACCTTTTGTTCCAAAAGGGTCTACTAGACTTAGACAAGTGATATAAAATATACAAAAAACGTTTCCCCAAACTTCTACTTAAGTTCTAACAAAACAAGTGTGGTAATTCTGTTTACCGTACGAACCCGAACTCGAAGTACCGAGCACGTACCTGTGGTGATAAGTGTTTAAGGTGTTTGTGTGTGTGTGTTGTTTAGGTGTTCACGCATCTTGTCAGCGCATCCGATTACACTATTCTCACTCCCGCGTGCCACGGTCTTCTCATCTGGAGCCCACCGCGAGGGTTTTCATTTGTTTTGTTTTTCAATTGTACTTGAAAAAGTTGTTTGAAAGCGGTTTTCAAATTATTTAAACATCTGTTTGAATCAACCAAAGACCATAAAAAACCAAGCCTAGTTTCTAATACCAAGAACTAGCATCAAAAGTCGTTTACAACGGCAGCCATAAAAATCAGAGAAACAGCCACATCTAAAAGAGCTAGAGAAGGTCCACAAGTACCCTTACCTCCTACACGGAAACCCAAACGCGCTGCTGAGCCAGTCGTACAACGTTACCCGTTAAGAAAAGAAGTACCTCCAAAACCTATACCTAGTCGACCTGCGAAAGCTGTTCGTCAATCTGAACCAAAATCTTCGAACTCAAAAGCCAGAAGAAACCCAATAATCATGCCTGACCCATCGAGTTCAAGCATAGAAGAACCGGCCCCTACAGGTCGGTCTTCACACAGAACCATGCCATTACCCGGTAATAAGGGAGCCCCGTTCTTC